GTAAACGTGCGCGGGTCTTAACGAGGAGCAGCGGCGGCTAGAAAAGTTAAAGAACTACGTAAAACACCGCCGTTAGTTGAGCGCAGGAAGCGATAAGAAGAAAACGCATTAGCACTATCGGTAGCACACCGCACGCACTCTCACAGAGTGTTAAAATTAAAAATGATCCACTGGATTAATAGGTGAAGGTCATCAATTATATTCTTACTTCAAAACTTTAGAAATTCTAAAATACAAAAAGCAGTAAATTTTAAAAGCTTTGAAAATTTTCGCACAAAAACATCATTGACCCGATTTTGAATATGTGGGTGTCCAACATTTTTGCATTTTAAAACCATCAATTTCGTTCGACCGCCAACTATTAGACATGATGGCAGAGGGTTATTCAGATGTGCGGTGTCCGGTAGTCGCACCACAAAGCCCCCAGAGTCTGCGTACACGATCCGAACGTGTTGGCAGCATTCGTTCCAACTCTAGCTGTGGCCCAGAACAGCAGGGATAGAGTTGATCCGAGTTGGAGCTGTTGAAGCAGTTTCGGCCGAAATAAATAATGACCCGCGGTATTTAGATACATCTAATATACAGAATGATACAGAAAATTCAATATATCTACATTTAATTCTTATAAATTAATTCTAGATAGGTAGATATTCCTAAAATCAATGATATTATTCAATTCTGGTGCTATTGATAGATGTACCATGCATCTGGTGGTAGTGTGTTTGCTTGGGTCATGCTTTTGTGCACGTTTTGGTGCGCGGTGTGCACAGAGGCTCTCTCTCAAAGTCAGCGGCTGACTTTGGCTAATGGTTTTCGTGATTTGAACGGATTTAACACAACTCTTTACCACGATGCGCGCCACTGCCGAGCCGGCCACTGAATACGGCTAATTATCTGCTCGGTTTGTGCATACCGCGCCGGCTACAAAGGACTTTTGGGCTCGTTGCCTTTCAAATTGTTTGTCTGGCGTACAAAACCGCATTTACGGCTATAGCTACGAATTAAATTCATTGCTAAAAAAGTTTTCAAGGTGTTACTCTACTAATTATTAAATATAACAAATATTAATTAAGTAGTTAATTAGATTTAGTTGAAACAGATATTTACTAATTAGGTAGGTATATTTAAATCATAAATATAACTTGTAATTGATCAAAATATGCCAATAAATGTCAAAAGTAAATTTTTAAATTCAATTCGATCAAAAATTATTCACGCTTTTCATAAAGTGCAAAATATTTTCAGTTTTATGTCAAAACATGTGAATGTTAGATTTCTGTCCAGGTTTAAATTCTCTAGGGTGTGATTTGTTTATAGTTTTCTAAAGAAACATGATGTGAATACCAAAATATTGATATCCAGATTTTTCTTGATGTTTTTTTCTGACAAAATGCAAAAATGGCTCGTCAAATGCACTCAACACAACTCAGTGAATCGCTCATTTATCTCTTCATACTTTTCCGTATTCTTTCAAGCTTTGCGTTTTTTTGTGCGCACTTTTTGCGGCAAATTTGTCGCGAAAGCTTTTAAGCTTTTTCCACAGCCTTCCGTCGTCGCCCCGGCATTCCGCGTTTTACAATCCATTATTTCTCCCTTTTCCTTTCTCTTAAAACTTTTTTCTATTTAGCATAAAACCGCAACTTCTTTGGCGTTGGCAAAGCCTCAACTTTTTTGCGTGTCACATTCATAGTTTTTGTCTATTTTGCAAAGAAAGCATCATCTTTCTGCGAGTAAAAACATTCTCCATTCAAATTTCAAATTTCGCTGACGTATTGTGTTTATGCACAAACAAAGAAGGCGAGTTGCGTCTGGCGGCAGCAGACACGTGGCGGTTGCTTTCGTCTCGTTTGTATCTCCTTCCAAGGGAGCCACCCTCTCATCCTGCTGCTCCTGTATAGTTAACAATGTTCCCTCTTCGCACAGCGTGCACATATTCGCATGGAAACTGGCGTGCGATTGCTCCGGATGTGTGAAAGACGCCATTGCCATGACACATAGGAAACTACATTCGAAATAAGAAGCAGACACCCTCCATGGTAAAACCAAATATGACAAACATCTAAAACTTTATTTAAAACACCAAAAACTAACAAATACATATTTTTATTAAGATTATTTCATTGGTATATTTCTAAATTTTCATTTGAAGCAATTTTGATTGAGTTTTGAGTTAAAACGTTGGATTTGGCAAACAAAACCTTCACGAGCACACATCCCGAGTGGATGAGGGAAAGAATGAAAGAGTGCGTCTGCGTGCGTGCACGCTGAGGGAGAGAATCCCAAGAATTAGAAATCATTTATCAAAATCATTCCGATGGTGCGCAGTGAGCACACACACAGCAAATGTCGGTTCAAACCAACTCAAAACCGAGTATTCACTCCAAATCCACCAAATAAAAATTTAAACAAACTAAAATTTTACATTTTTACTATTTTTACTACAAATAAATTCATAAAACAAAAAATAAATATATTTTTCTATACCAACACATACTATAAAGGCAATTGCGTTAATTGTAAATTGATGATACCTTCCGTAATTACTAATTAACATGCAGCTGTAATTTACATGAAGCACTTTACCAATTTGTAATTCGATGGAAATGAAAATTGCTTTATGTAATTACGCCAACACTTGAATATGCAGCAACGACATTTGGATGGCTTCGTGTCTTATAATTATTAATTAATTTAAGTAACATTTTTACTCTTTCAGTTTTTCTCAGTCATGAAACGGTACTATTTGTTGTTTACAGAATAAAATTATACTCAACGTTTAAGCCAGGGACAAAATGATGAAATTCCGTGTCAGTTTTAATGGTTTCATCGCTTTTTGATTTATTTATCGACGAATTAAACGTTTATTAATCATTGCCGCTCTTCGGCGTGTCTTTCCACGTCCTTGCGTTATTATTCACGCTAAGCACGTAAACTTATTGGTACGTGATTCACTTGAACTTTCAATAGTCTTCAAATGGTCATTTATTTATAACGTTCAGTTCGTTTATCATTCGTCTTTTGTACCTACCTTCCACTCCCACCTTACCTCTACAATAAGTATCATCAATAAATAATTCGTTTTCAGCAATTTGACGAGTCGCAAGACCTCAAAGCATGCTTTGAAGTGTTCCGCCTTTTCTTTCTCGTGCGTTGTCGATATTGTTCACAACGCTCAAAATATAAAATCGGCCATTAAACGCTTTTCAATTACGGCGGTTATTAATCGAAAAATGGCGAGTGTGCACGTTTCGAGGCGCAAACTGTGATTTTCGCCTCGCAGCTCCGAAAAAACAAAACGTGTTCGTTCTGACATCCAAGACATTAAACGTGAATGACTAATGATACTTTTTGTTTGTTCCGCAACGTAAGTGCATATAAGTGATATATATGAAATGTCAAACGCAACTTTGCGCCCGCCTCGAAATGTGCAAGTTTCAGATAAAAATATCCCGCATATGCATATTTTTAACCGTTTCGGAGGACAATTGTCTTCGAAATGGATTCGTAAACACTCCTATATGTGGATCTAAAAGTTGACGCGCACTTTGAGCAAAGATGAAGATTTTACGTCTTAAATTTAGTGTTTGAATGTTTGGGGACGCTAGCGTCACGACGACGACACATCAGACGCGCATAACGAACGACATAACACAACGTAATATAACTAATGATCTTTTCGGATCGTTTTGGGCTGCGACTCGCTTGACACGTGCTTACACACATGTAAGTACACCTCGCATGCATCACGTCACAAGATCATCTCTAGGAAGTGACTGATAAGTCGGAAAAGGACTTGGCGATTGATCCATCTTGAAAATAATCGAAATTGTTGATATGACAAATGAAAATCCACGAACCAACAACAAAAATCTTTAAAATATTTTGATGAATGGTTCTTCCTGCAGTTAAGAAAAAAAACTAAACTGAAAGCAATGTGTTTAGTCATTCAATTATCCAATTAGACGGTGATGCGGCGTGTAAACATTGGCCTACTACACATTTATTATACAAATACTTAATGCTTCTACTACGCCTTGATGATTTGGAGTCGGGTTATGCCGCCTAACAAGTGTAACAAGTAGCCAACTAAGAAACGACTTAGTTACTTCCTCGTAGAGTATTAATGCAACTAACTAGGGATATACAAGTCATTCGGCATTATCCTCAAGTTTTAATATGAATAAAACTGTAGTTGGCATTTGGGTTCATTGTTTTTTCATTTATTAGAAATTTGTAAACTATCCCTTGGTGAACTGGAGACATATAGCAAATAATCGGAAAAAATAGGAAGAAATAAAAGTAAAAGCCAAATATTCCCCGGAGAGCCAACGCATTCTGAAGAGTTCGACTTTGTGTTTCGTAGAGGACGCTCCCAGGAGCTAGAGGACGACTAGGGAGATGAATTTTGTATATAGATGAAGGGCATGCGGCGTCTTTGCCTTTGCCCTGCTGTATAGGTGTGTTTATAAAAGCGAAAACGTTCCCAAAAGCGTTACGCTCTCGCCTGGCTCTTTGTCGGCTAGCTCCCAAGGGAGCAACGTCTGCGAAAAGGTAAAAGCCTTTTTCTATGACTTTGTACAAAAACATCTCTCTACTATTCTTTTATTTTATTCTAAATTTAGCAAAAAAAAAGGTCTGGCATTTATTTTTATAATGCTATAATACTGCTTTGGTATTTAACGTGAAGTAATTTAATTGATTTCGAAATTTCTGAAATCCTTTCCAACATAGATTCGACTAGAAAGTTTGTTGTTCGGAGCTTTGGCTGTAGTGCCATGTTCATAAACGTGAAGCACCGCAAGACGTCGCTACTACAGCTTCGCCATCCATCATGGGTCTTGTGACGCCGTGAGTTCGGATTGGTTCGATGTAGAATCACGTGCCGCGTCGACTGCGAGTAGCTCGCCATGCGATGGGCGTGGCGACGCCGATCCCCAGCTTTGGCGCGGTGCGCCTCTTCGTTCCGAAACCCACTCTCGAGTTGGTTCCGACGAACGAGCGAGTAGGGAGTCGACCGCCAACGCGCTGATCGGCATACACACAGTCCGACGCATAAACACAGCACGACTCACCATTTACCTCAAACAGTAGACCCGCAGTGATCATGTTGGTGATTCCCGCGTTCAGTGCTTCAAACAACTAAACATTGTGTGGGACTTTACCAGTGCGGATAGTGTTTTGATTCATTTATTGGTTCGGTTGATTAGAGTGTGATTCAGCAAAATGAGCTCGTTTCTAATGAACCCGGTATCAGGTTCTTTGGCGTCCAGCTATCAACAACCTCATCAACACCTTGGAGGTGGCGGAATGGTTGTAGATCCCAAATTTCCTCCTAGTGAAGAGTACAGTCAATCAAATTACATCCAAACGGGGGATTTCTTCTCGGGGCATCACCTGGGTCAACCCCAGCATCATCTGCAATACGGTTATCACCATAATCATCCGAGTCATCATCAACCAAGTACACCACCTGCGTATGGACCTACAACGGTTCCAAATGGTGGATATCCAGGGTACGGCAACTACTATCACCCGCAGATCCACCATCCGGCGGCACCCATCCATCCGCATCAGATCCGCCCGCCAATTCTGCATCCAAATGACCCACAACAACAACAGTGTACAAATCTTCAAGCGACGCCTGTTACCTCAACAAACATTCTGCAAAACTTGGCGGATATTACACCCGTGTCGACGATGGTCAGTCAGACCAATGAGGTGAACGCGAGTGTCACTAGTGTTTGCAGTCCTGGTTCAGCAGGGCATGGACAGGATAGTCGCGGGTCACCTATTTCTCAACAGCAACATTTGCATGAACTAGGACTGCGTTTAGAAAATGGGGATGGCAGCGATGAACAGGATGATTTGGACGATGACCCTGAAGGGTCTCCGTTGTGTGATGATGATGATGACGATGATGATGGTGATCGCGTTATTTATCCCTGGATGAAGAAGATTCATGTTGCAGGAGTTGGTAAGTTACTAAATTTAAGATTAGATAACCATCCGTCGGATAAATATTGCCCATTACCTGGTCTTCTATTCTATATTAATGTGAAGTCATTTGTATGTTTTGCAAACACTGCGGTGTCAAGAATCAACAACGAATCCATTTTCTTCAATTCTTTTCTATTGGGTTTTCTACCCGGTGTGGTCCATGTATTTGAAAGGACTCGAAATGCCTCTTGTCTCTGGCCTATCGATGTGTTTGGTCCACAAGTACCCCACAACAAAAGTTAACAAATTGCCGGCCATTAACTTAGCGTCAACTGGAATAGTTCCAGATTTGTTTCCATCTCATCAGTGTGCAAACACCGCTTGCGGCTTTCAAAGGTCTCCACCACACAAAGGAAAAATAAATTGCCAGTGATTAAACTTCAATGATCACATCGATGTTCGACAAGGACATCTTTCAAGTGGGTCTCATCGTCACTCGTTTGCGCTTCTTTTCTCATCATTGTCATTGTATTTTGGTATGGATACTCGTAGATAAATAGAAGTCGAGGAGATGCTCGGAGACTAATGGCGGGTGATTTGCAAATGTCAAATCTTGTATTGCAGTTGATCACTTGGGACTATTTGAGTATTTAAGGTGTTTTGGAGGTGTATAAAAACGTCCTTGGATATTATATTTGTGATAAATGAGAAAAAATTAATTTTTTGAAGATTTGAAGTAGGGCTAAGGTTTTCTATTCAATAATTCAACTGCAAACATTGTTTCAACTCTAGAATTACTCTGAAACTTGATTCAAAGCTTGAAATTATTTCTTTTATTTGCTTATTTACTTTGCCCACGACATTTACTTAGTGATAGGTGTATAAGTACATTTACTTGTTGGAAATTTGGAAAATTCACCCATGCACGCCCGACTAAACAAGTGAATACATGCACTCAGTTAATGAGTTATTAATGGGGCAGCTCTTCTGCATTCGCCCGCGTTTGTCATTCACTCGCGGCCGACGTTCGACATCATGTGCCGTCGCCGGGCGGCCATGAAACGAACGCACGAAGCGCCCGAACAATAATTACAAACGAAGAGAAAGGGAGAACGGCAAAAGGGACGCAATAAAAATCAATAACATTTACAATAGCCAGCGAATCGCTATCGCCGCTCTCGCGCACACCGAGCGCGGAATATTTTCCATCAAAAACTCTTCTGCTCCTCTCCATTTCCACGAAATTCTCCACTACCTGTGAATTCATCACACTCGCCGGACAAATTCCAGTATAAACACATAATTGCGCTCCGCGCGCGCAGAAAACACCGTGAAGTTCACAAATTAGCCCCGTGAATGTGCGCGCCGAGTAAATAAATAAACTCGAGCGCAAACAAAAAGGACGCGCGGACTTATTATGTCCGCATGTTGAAAGAGGTGAAAAAAGCTCGAGCGCATCGCACAAAGTAACAAAAGCAAATCGAATTATGTGCTTGTTGTGCTTGATTTTATTCGGCGCGTCGGCAACAAACAGAGTTTTTTGTTGTTGCACGAAGCGCGTTGTTATTCTGAGCGCTATGGTTTGATTCTGCGCTGAGAGCTGAGAGCTGTGATCCTGTGTGAATGCCGCCTCGACGAAATAATGAAATAAGAGAGCTGCTTGTGAAGCTACTGCTTCATCGTGTTTTTCTTCATGCTGATCTTCCAATCATCCAACTAACAAATAAAACAAAATTATTTATTAAGAATTAAAAACCAACATGGTTGAAATTAATTTTTGCTTATTCTTTATTTTCTTGCATGCGTTCAACGCATCTGCCTGGTTATTAAAGCTAATAACATTCATAATTAATATTGGCGAGCATCTGCAAGAGTTGTTTACAATACATGATTGAAAACTGTACTTTTTTTAATGGAAAAACTCTGTTTTTACGCAAAAACATGAAGAAAATTGAGAATTTGTGTTTAATTAGATTAGATTTCGAGGTTAATGCTTAAGTAATGTTAAGTAATGTTGAGTATAATGTTGTAGACGTGTTTTGTTAATGATAACAAACTGTATGTTACGTTTATAAGTCAGTAAGTCGAAAATTAAAGCGATTGAAGTTGCGCGCCGATGTTGAAAAAGTCGCGACTCATTGTGCCAAGACCGGCAAGTCCCAACAATGATTGCGCACATTTGCGCGCGGACTGCACCAGACGACGATTGTACATGCAGACGGAAAGCGACAAGCCGCCGCCGACAACATCAACATCCATCCGAACCGCATCGATGATTATTTGACCATAGACAATGCGCGATCAAGTTTTTATCCTTTGCCATCTGCAAATGGTGGGGCCTCCCAAATGGAAGTCGCGTCATGTCGTCGAAATCATCCAAGAGATTATTGAGTTGAACTCGGTTTACTCAGTCAAGGTCATCACACTGTGAACAATTTAACTCCGCGGTCATCACAATGAATCAACAATTTATTGTGTTCTATATTTTTTAATGAATTTTATTTTGTTTCCAGCGAATGGATCGTACACGCCCGGAATGGAACCCAAACGACAACGCACAGCATACACCCGACATCAGATTCTGGAGCTAGAGAAGGAATTCCATTACAATCGCTACCTGACTCGACGACGTCGCATCGAAATCGCCCACACCCTCGTCCTTTCCGAGCGGCAAATAAAAATCTGGTTCCAGAATCGCCGGATGAAGTGGAAGAAGGACAACAAACTGCCGAACACGAAGAATGTGCGACGGAAAAACGCCAACGGTCAGGCGGCGGGTAAAGGCAAGAATGCCGGCGGTGGTGGCGGGAGGAAAACCGCCGCCAACAACAATGCAAACAATTTGGCGAACGCCAGCGCGCAGAATAACAACGACAAGCGGAAGAACAACAACGGGCGTGAATTGGACGGGCTGGGCGAGCATATGCTGGACATGTCTCTGACGGTGAACCAGATTTCTTCACACGCGCATCCCATGCCGACGCATCCGGGTCACCATCATCAGATGCCAGGGGGCGGTGGAATGCACGACGCTCTGCATGGGATCAATGCGATGAACCCTCTCACACCGCTTTCTTCATCGCCTGGCTGCGGCCCGGCGAATGTCCTCCAGACGCAGAACGGCATCAAGTCCGACTATGGTCTCACGGCGCTCTAAACCCCATCGAGACCACCCAGCCGACCTAGTTTATAGCAACGACCAAATACACTGCGCGAAGTGAAAAATAAGAAAAACTAGTGATACAAGTGACACAAAAGCTCAACGAAGAAATAAAAGTGCAGAAAAATCAACCGAAAGTGTTTACGACAATATTCAGAACAAACTATCATACAGACTAACTGTATACGGACGGATAATAGAAGAATTCAGTGTAAATAATTGTGAATATATTTGTTTTGTTAAATTTAGGCGAAAACAAGACAGAAAAAACGATTGGATGCATTGCAGAGTCAAGTCAAATAATAGAATAACATAAACTTAGTGTTATTTCGTTTGTTTTATGTTTTATTTGTTTGTGTTTGAAAATATAAAAAGAAAAATTGTGCCATAAATATCGAATTACTATTATTTTATTGGTCATACGTCAAAATTCATCTAGGAAATGAATTCATTGTTATTATTGTGCATGTTATTTGATGATAAAAACGTAAAATATTAAACTAATCGAGCAGGAAGGCGAGAAACATTCGAAACGTGTGATTTATATTAATATTACGATATTTTAATGTAAACTATTATTTTATTCATCGTCGACCATCAAGAGCCAATCCTAGTTGCTGCTAATTAATCGTACACTAGATGAGAAACAAAACAACAATAATTTATTGCTACGTGCACGAATAGGTACGCTGAATCTGAATGCAGAACTGGATGACACTTTTAAATAGACTGTAAATATTCTAATTACTTGTAAACTGAATTAGGTACCTATTATGTTGATGATCGGCTTGACGCGTGGTCATTCATGATGAGTTTAATGAGATTAATGAGAAAAAGCGATGATAATAAAGTGTATACTTCTATTAAACGCAGTGTTTTATTGTTTGTTATGTATTTTTATGCGTGGAATTGTTTATTAGTATATTAGTATAACCTTCAGTGATGTAGTAATTATTTTATGCACATTTTCTCCGGGCTGGTCTCGGAGGAGGCGTGATTGACGTGATGTACACCTTGAGATGTCATTTTTTCTTCTTCAACATATTTATGTTGGATATCTGCTCGCGTGTCATTGATATGTGGCGTTTGTTGCTGTTTGCACTTAGACTGACGTTTGAATGCTGGGTAATAGACATGTCTCTGTCTGGAATTTCTTTGCGTACACTTAACAACAATTTTAATATATTCAATACTTAATTTAAATACCTTAGAGTGAATTGTTTACTTATTAAGTGGATAAATTGCATTTTTATACAATTAAAACGCGTATTTTTTTGTTTTTTGCATTTTAAGTGTAATTTTAACATTCAAATGAGTCTTTTATTGTAAAAAATAAAGCATGGAACCCTCTTTTACAAAGAGGCTTTGAAGAGGCACCGATGGGGGATTGGCGTAACGGCCCAGTCGACCGAAGAGGAAAGCACACCATAGATCCATTATCGACTCGGCGATCGTCTATTGGTCGATTTTTTTCGTTTCGTTTCATTTCTCCTATCAACCCCACATCCACATCGGAGGGGTTCGATTTCTTTGTGTTATTTTTTAGGGGAAGCCCCGTTTGACTGGATACCAACTGATGCCGAACAACTCAACTGCAGAATATTTACAACATTTTGCACGATTTTTTCTTGATTTCTGCACGAAATAAAAAGTGAAACTGCTAACTGACGCGTATATAATAGCTCGTGTGCATGTTGCGCGCTCGTCTGTAATTATAATTACGAAACAACATTTTAGACACTCTTTGCGGCGGCAGGGAGCGAGAAAGAGAGTTAAATAATGATTGGAAGACGCGTCGAGATTGCTGAGGCGGTGGATGCAGAAATTGCAGGCGCTTCTCGGCGCGCGCGGTTCCATTAAGCGCGGCTAAACTTAATAATAACTTAATAACTTTATTACATTACTGCGTTTATTGCGTTATTACATTTTCCACAGCGCATGGGTTTTGTGTCTAGGCGCGTCCGCGGCACGCTAGGGAGTGCACGATTATGGTTCTACTCGTTTTGCATTTTCCATTTTGCATTTACATTGCGGATAATGGTTGTACGCGGCGCGCTAGGCGTTTTGCTTAATTTCCTCATGCATAACATGAACTTACATGAACTAACATGCGAGACATTAAATGCTTACTTAGTTACAGCATAAAACAAGACGTTACAAAATTTAATAACATTAGTTTTATACCGTAAAAGGTAAAAATTTTACAATGGAAGCAATTTTTCTGCAAAATTTGTAAAAATTATGTAAATCTTGTAAATCATGTAAATATCTTATTGTATAGTCTTGTAAATCTTGTTTGCGGCTTTGTCGCATTACCATCGCCTGCTACCTCTTGTAAAATCTCAATAAATCTGCCGCAAAGTCAAGTTGTAAATCTTTTCAAGAAATTTGTCACCAATATTTTAACTTAACATAAATTTATTTTATTCTTTTGTCACATTTTCAGATTTAAGCCTTCCAAAATTTTCCAGGTATACAAAAATGCAATTTGTTGTTGTTTATCTGAATAAAAATGCAGTAGCTTAGATTTTTAACTGTATTCTGTGTATTTTTTAGAAAATTGTCGGTTTTTACTTTGTGCATCATGCCGAATTGCATCAGATCTCTGGGGAGCTGTTGGGTTGTTGGCTTGTTGGCGAATTGTGAATTGCGGTGTGGATTTGTATTCCCGCATCGGCGACAAAGGGTTACTAGTGGAATATGCCCAGTGGTCACTCTGCGCTCACTTATTTACAGCTTACTGTCGGCGGGTTAAACAGAGGCTGCAAACCGAGCATATCCGCGGCACTCCCTGATGATTTCATCAAAGGCATGTTTGTTAATTGCCGCCATACCAATGTAAAGCTATGAATTTAAGAAGAAAATAGCAAAATTGATATTTTTTTTAAATTTTTTGAACCGACAGTATTAAATAACAGTTAAATATATTCAAGAAACAGTAAACGATGAAAATAAGATAGGCGTATTCTTGACGCACTCGAGTGACACTATGAAAGTCATTAATTTTATTGTCAAATTAGCCTCTGACTACGCATCAACGTTTTAAAATCTTTAGAACTCCAAAAATACAAATAAAATTCTGAAAATTTAAAAATAGTTCAAAAGATATTTTGATGCATGAATGAAATATCTTCACTTTACTATAGTTATGTAGGAATGTATGAAAATGATGTATCATTCATTCATTTCAACAATATCAACATGATACCACACAAACTGTAAAACGGTAAAAAGTGTAAAACATCTTCAGCAGCAGTTTTCTTGTGTTACTTATATTCCAGCACGACTCGAGTAGGTTGCTCCACGAAATAAAAATAGAATCGAATGAAAAAATGTGTAAGCGCAGGCGATAAAAGCGACATTAAGTGATGACTGATGACATCACATGATACCACACGGCGATAAGAGGTGCTTGATGAGCGCGTGAATGCGCGAGTACGCCGTGGTCAGTCCACAAGCACAGGTGAGGTGACCATGTAACAGAAGTTGCATTCGGTGATAATCGTACGAGGACCATTAATTATCACACAGAAAAACTCCAGCTACAAGTTCGGAGGGAATTAGCAATCAAAAAACGAAAAACTTGCAAATCTAAAATAAAAATTTTCTTCGTGGAAGGTTTTGATGTTGCCATCTTGGTGTAGTTCCCATCTTGCAATGTCTGCGGTCTGTTCTTTCTTAGGGCGGTCGATGTTCGGAGCGACGTTGTTGTTTCAGGTCGGTTCGGCCCACTCGATTCGTACATAATTGGATGGTCCGTGCTCGAAGACTCTACGTTCATCAAGAGCATGTGTTACCATCACCAAACATCAAACATCAAGTTTTGAACCACCACACACACAACATTTAATTTTTTTTCGATATCCTGCCTTTTTTAGGGTCTAAAATTTGATAATAGAAGAGGGAGATGAAAAAAATCATTTTTTACTCTGAGGGTTGAGACTAATAGACAAAGAAAGAGATCAGTGGGCTGGAATGCGTAACCAATTGCACAAATACAGAATTATAAAAATTTCCCAAAAGTTTGAAAAGAAATTAAACGATTGATGCGTGGCAAATCACAAAAATCAATTAATAATCATCAGATATTTACATTTTTTATTCTGTCAATGATGTAGATACAAATCAGTTTAAATTTTTCTTCCTAATGACATTGTTCAATATTAGTTTTGCAGATACCTGTATTACCTACAACGCTTAAAATGTACGTTGTAAGTAGTTATAATAATTGAATGTTGGACTTATCGCACGTGCTCAGCACCGTCGGAGAGTAATGGCTACCTGCAAGTACACAAATTGAAAGTAACTAAATTGCTAATTGCTGTTGCGTGGTCATTAGCCCGTTAATTACACTCAATTTGTTTCTAGCAGCTTCTAAACTTCTCCAACACTAATATTCAACTCCGAACTTTCAGAAAGCAGCATAATACACACGAGTTATTTTAATTTGATTCGATACAGATCACACTGATTGAAAAGTTAACTATTCATCTCGTGTCTGATCTTGTCGTCTGGAAGACATGTGGGTAAATGTTGTTACAGCATGATGAAAGCAATACAACATGGAATTAAGTAGTAATGACTTGTAATACTCGGCAATTCTTCAGACTTATCGTAATAGTGTTAGCTGACGAGACGTAGACATATTAGCGAAAAGATTGCACAATCATGCCGACGCTAACTACCTATTACAGATTCCTGTAAAAGTTTATAACCTCACATAACCTAAATTGTTAATTTGGCATAATTTAACAAGACATTATGGTGATAGAGATCTTGATAATGAGAAATTAGTTGAGTCATGCTTGGAGTGAATCTAAAACATCGATTAGCTCCGAATTGCGTTTGCAGCTTGTTTCCGAACTTCCTTTCTTTAATCCACCTCCTTAATGTCACTTCCAAAGTAGTACCTATCAAATGAGGGCTGAGGATCACGCCAAGGCGCGGTATTAGAAAGTGCAGACCCGTTTAACTAATCGAAAACTAATCACCCTGCGACGTCTTTGTCGATGACGACAGAAACAATTATGGGTGGAATGTAAAGCAGACTTTATTGCATCACGACTTTCAAATTATTTTTATTCCAATTGGATTATTTTTTGTTTGCACTTCAGATTTTTGAAATTTTTCAGTATTTGAGAACCTTTTGAAGCACATATGGCAGCTTGCCCCTCATGAGTTTTTTTTTCTCTTTCAATCTTTAGTTATGCGTTTTTCCATTTATTTTGCTTTTTATTTCGCTCTCGACGTACGCGCGCTGCAACGCACCGACTTAGAGACACGTCAAACGTCAAAACGTGGAGCTGCGCGTGTTTTGCTCGGATGGTGTGTTCCGTTCGACATTATTAATGATTTTCGATGATGGGTGACAGCCATCAGCCGGTCGCTCCTTGCCACGTTTCTACGTTTTGAAAACTTTTGCTTCAATTCCACGTTTTGTGCAACCACTACCAACAATACTCACATAGCTATAACAAAAATAAGTGCAAAATCTACCAATGCTACAGAATGTTAATTTTCTATCAATTGAATGAATAAATATTCTGTAACTGGTTCCTGAAGTTGAAGAAGTTTTCGGTAGAAGTCATGCGGTTTGCGCTCACGCGGCGAAAACGCATTTATTTTTTCGTTGCGCCCTTTCCGCGGCATCAACCATCAATCTGCGGCAAATGAAAGAATCCATTCGAAGGTAGGTCACAGTCTCGCATCTCGCCGTATCCGACTGAGCGTTGCTTTGATGCTATTAACTCTTTATTTTTAACCAGTCTCCATCCACGTGGGCCGCGCTGGGGATTATAACGTTTTGATGCGTGTGTTGTGTAATTGTTATTGCTTCAATTTGGCGTGCGTACAGAGGCAAGGCAAATG